CCAACTGGTTTTTCTTTTGGCTCCCATAAGAGAAAACACCTTGAAAAGGTGTGTGATCACAAGTCTAGTTGTTTGGTCACATTCCTCCTGTTCAAGGTAAAAAGAAAAATAAAGTTCTTTGTCATTATTATGTTATTGGGTTACTGTGGTTAATTAAGATGATTATATTTCAGCTAGGTTTTAAAAGCAATCAACTGAAGAGAATTGTAGACCAATGTCAATCTTGACCAGCATGACCTGAGCAAAACAAGGCAGAGCAGGTTTTTGGGTGTTTGGGTGGAAACCCCATAAAACCCCATTTTGTTCCACTTATCAGAAACAGTACTTGCTTTTCGTAAACTTAAACCAGTAACTTTCAAGCCAATCATACATTCGTCTCTGTCATACAGCTAAAGACTGTTTTAAACATTGCGATGTGTTGGTTAGGTTTCACCTTCTATCTTGACCAGCATGACCTGAGCAAAACACGGCAGAGCAGGTTTTTGGGTGTTTGGGTGGAAACCCCATATTTAAAGAGTATGTTTTAAACATTGAGATGTGTTGGTTAGCTTTCACTTTCTACCTTGACAAGCATGACCTGAGCAAAACAAGGCTAGGCTGGAACAATGTAAACAAGATTTAGTTTAACTTACCAAAAACATTTCTTACTTCCTTTTCGTATACGTTCGTCTCTGTCATACAATAAAAGTGGCCATACAGGAATGACCTGTAATGCTGCGTGTTGTGGCATTCTTGTAAGAACATTTACCACCAATCCATCTTCCTTTGCTTCTTCATGGCACGAGGAGAGGGTTATATATATGTATTTATTTATTTTCTGGGATGGCTTGTCATTAGACATTGATATCAATGTTTTACTCACAATTTGATCAGCAATATTTAATTGGAAAATTAAATTACCCTCATCCGGCTGCAATAAAGTGGAAACTACTTTAAGTTTACTCTGTATACCACAGGTAAAAAGTAGTAGTACATTGGTGAAATATCAAAATTCCAAGAAACAATGTCAGCAAACAAAAGAACTTTATTGAAATAACACAGTTTAATGTAATATACATATATATATATATAAAATCTGACATATTACTGACCAGAAGTTTAGAAGCAGATCATTTACTTTAATTATTCTATTTCTTCGTATGATGATACGATTTTCAAACATACCTGTAGTGAGAGTGTGACATCATTGAATCGTTCACAATCATTTAAACTTCATTGTTAAATACAAAGTTGTGATCCAGATCATTGGGCAGTTTTTTACTGAATAATGATGTGTCGCCATCTGATGTTTATCCTGAATCAGTTGGTTCAGATTCAAAGGTTACGACTAACTCCCCCCAGTGAGCTCCCAGGGAAGTGATTCCAATCCCGTTGTAGCTCCCACTCAGTAGTATCAGCTCTGCCTCCTGCTGTGGAGAGTACAAGTTGAAGGAGCTCTGCAAAAGAAACAAATATTTGTATCATGTGTGATGCACTGTGTAGTTTGGCTTCATGGTACTGTTGTCTGTATATATGTGTAATAGCCTATGTCACAGAATAGTTATAATACACAGCGGTGTGGACAGTAAAGCCTTAATTTCATTGTAAAGGACAATGCGTTTCCTTACTGCGCACATGACAACAAGCACTTTAAATCTTTAGCACGTTAAAATGTTTGTCCCCCCGACGCAAAATTCAAACTCGGCCTATGCCTTTTCAGTGACGTGTAGTCAGGGGAGGCAGTGGAATGCTGATGGGATATGAAGCATTACCAGGTGCATGGTGTTGGATGAATAACGAAATAAGATCTTATTTCTCTTCGCTTCACTCTTTTTCGGTTCTTGCAATTGTAAATCTGACTCTGGAGGAGTCAATGCCTCACCAGCCATGAACCTCACCGCACGTGACTGCCTTTTATTGATGTACTATTCACCACCTGCTTCAGTCAGTGTGTGACACAGCGCCATCACAAGTGAGGCAATGCTCATCGCTGCCACACCTCGCCCTTCTCCCTTGTATTTGAACAGGAATCTCGAAAATCAGTGAGTGTGGTGACTGGGTGCCACTTGCAGCCACAATCCTCTTC